TTTTTCGGGTCGAAATTTGAATTTCGATATCTCAGCTCTGGAAGGGTCTAGAGCCTCCATTTTTGCACTCAGATCTAAGTCTCGTGGCCCTCTATCAGAATCCAGAGTTTTGAGAAGATTGGAGAAACTTAATTTTTCGTCCGAAAATGAAAAAAAACGTAAGGGGTAACACTGTTGTTGTTTTTTTCTGGTCGAAATTTTGAGTTTCGATATCTCAACTCTGGAAGGGTCTAGAGCAGGGGTCCCCAACTGGCGGACCGGGGTCCAGGTCCGGACCCCAATACCTTTTTATCCGGACCTTTAAACATTTTCGTTAAAATTTTTAGAAAAAAAAATCAAATGAATTTTACCGAAATAATTTTTTGAACAGGTGTTGCGCGCGGGCAGCTATGTCTGTGTCAGTCCTTTGCAAGAGCCGGGTTTGGAAGAGATCACAAACTTGGCTTGTACCACATTACTATGATATTCGAGAATTGATTATTATGCTTTGTCAAATTAGAAAAGTGGACTCTGAAAAACCGCATCTTTCGAGATGAGTGGACTGAAGTTTACATGTTCATTTTGCCCGTCATTGAGCTCTACGAGGCCCGTGTGTCTTATTTGTTTGGAGTCTGTTGCTGTTGTTAAAATGGAACATCAAAGTGGGCATATCGAGAACAAGACACACAACTTTCAATTAAAATTATCCGCCAAGGAAAAAATTATGCTCCTTTTGTGTTATTGATGTGAAAAGTTTGACATTTGAAATTTGGACTAAAATGGAAGTAATAATACATGAATGAATTTCAACAAAATCAGTTGAATACATTTAAAGATAAAGATTTTATTGTCAAAGATTTTGTCAATTTGTTGACATGGTTACAATTTAATAAAACGAAAGAAAACTTATTTTGCCGGGTGTTTTTGCATGTCCGGACCCTCGTTTACTGGGCTCATCGGGTTAGTGGACCTCTTGCCAATTTAGTTGGGGACCCCTGGTCTAGAGCCTCCATTTTTGCACTCAGGTCTAAGTCTCATGGCCCTCTATCAGAATCCAGAGTTTTGAGAAGATTGGGGATACTTAATTTTTCGCCCGGAAAAAAAAAACGTAAGGGGTAACACTGTCGTTTTTTTTTTTCTGGTCGAAAATTTGAGTTTCAATATCTCAGCTCTGGAAGGGTCTAGAGCCTCCATTTTGCACTCAGGTCTAAGTCTCATGGCCCTCTATCAGAATCCAGAGTTTTGAGAATATTGGAGATACTTAATTTTTCACCCGAAAAAAAAAACGTAAGGGGTAACACTGTCGTTTTTTTTTCTGGTCGAAATTTTGAGTTTCGATATCTCAGCTCTGGAAGGGTCTAGAGCCTCCATTTTTGCACTCAGATCTAAGTCTTGTGACCCTCTATCAGAATCCAGAGTTTTCAGAAGATTGGGGATACTTAATTTTTCACCCAAAAAAAAAACCGTAAGGGGCAACACTGTCGTTTTTTTTTTCTGGTCGAAATTTTGAGTTTCGATATCTCAGCTCTGGAAGGGTCTAGAGCTTCCATTTTTGCACTCAGGTCTAAGTCTCATGGCCCTCTATCAGAATCCAGAGTTTTGAGAAGATTTGAGATACTTAATTTTTCACCCGAAAAAAAAAAACGTAAGGGGTAACACTGTCGTTTTTTTTTTCTGGTCGAAATTTTGAGTTTCGATATCTCAGCTTTGTAAGGGTCTAGAGCCTCCATTTTTGCACTCAGATCTAAGTCTCGTGGCCCTCTATCAGAATCCAGAGTTTTGAGAAGATTGGGGAAACTTAATTTTTCACCCGAAAAAAAAATGTAAGGGGTAACACTGTCGTTTTTTTTTTCTGGTCGAAATTTTGAGTTTCGATATCTCAGCTCTGTAAGGGTCTAGAGCCTCCATTTTTGCACTCAGGTCTAAGTCTCATGGCCCTCTATCAGAATCCAGAGTTTTGAGAAGATTGGGGATACTTAATTTTTCACCCGAAAAAAAAAACGTAAGGGGTAACACTGTCGTTTTTTTTCTGGTCGAAATTTTGAGTTTCGATATCTCAGCTCTGGAAGGGTCTAGATCCTCCATTTTTGCACTTAGATCTAACTCTCTAGACCCTTCCAGAGCTGAGATATTGAGATCCCACATAGCATTTATGCCATTATTAAAATAGTGGGTTCGCGGACGGTGGAATTTTGGGACGGCGCTTTGTGCTACGGACCCCGGGGGGCCTGCTGAGTGCAGTAAAATAATTTTTATCACGACAGGAACTTTAGTTAAAATGTCTTTCAAATATAGCACCCGAAACCCCATTCAATAGATTACAGGCAGGATGGTGTCCAACATAAAAATGGTATGAAACTCATACAGGTTTGGAACAACATGAGGGTGAGTCAGTGATGACAAATATAATTTGTGCTTGAACTATACCTTTAAAGGCATAGTTCACCCCAAAATTTAAATTAGCCCATGATTTAATCACCCTGGCCTCTAGCCATCCTTGGTGTATATGACATTCTTCTCTCAGATGAAAACAATCAGAGTTATATTAAGCAATGTCCTGGCCCTTCCAAGCTTTATATTGGCTGTAAATGGTTGTTTCTGTTGAAAGTTCATAAAAGTGCATCTATCCATCATACAAGTGCATCTATCCATCATAAAAGTGCATCTATCCCTGATACAAGTGCATCTATCCATCATAAAAGTGCATCTATCCATGATAAAAGTATATATATATTAATATAAAATATTTAAAATATTCATATTTAAGTTGCGATTTAGATTTAAGTCATCTAAGTCATGTTCTTTTGGCCGGAAGTTATTTTACTTTATAAAGTTTTAAACATGAATATTTTTCTTACATCTCCATATTCCTCATTACTCCACATAGAGTCAACATCTGAGATATTTTCATCAGCTATATGTTCAAGCCCTTCAGAACTGTATATTCTGCACATGAACATTTTTTAAAAATTTATCGGTACTGTGACATAATTTTTTTTTTTTATAAAAGAAATTTCAATCAGCATCACTGAAAATGTGACTTTAGTAACAGGCTTTCAAACCTACTGTCCATTCTAATGGACAGACACATTTAAAAAAAATCCTGATTTAAAACGTGCAATTCTACAGTCGATTTTTAACTTTAATTTATAAGTTCAATCTTTCTATTTTACATACAAACTATGAAATACTGGCAAAAATATATACAAAATGTAAATACACCTTAGAAAATGTTGCTTGCTTCTGTGTTTGGAGTGAAGTGCTGCCATGCTTCTCTTCAATGTAAAGGTTTTTTTCTATATATAATTACTACATGCAAAACTTTACTGGCATTTGATTGGATGAGAAACATCCAATCTCATGACTGCAGGCGTTAAACTAGGTGAAATGCTCCAGAAGTTAAAAAAGGGGTCTGACATGTGATGTCTATTGTAATAGACACAGGGTCTGAATGGGTTAAACGAGGAGCTGGGGGATGCCGGAAAAATAGACATTTTACTCATTAGGCTGCTTCATTAAAAACGTGACATTTAGACGTTTTCCTCGGCGTGGATCAAGGCAAATGAATCCTTTTCACCTTGAAAACAATACATGTTTTTTTGCATTTTAAATAATAGAACATTTCTCAGTGATCGTAAATAAAAGAAAATTGAATTTTTCTCGGTTTAATGAAAACCAATAGGTCGTTATGGCAGAGGCGATTGCGTGTAGAATAGGTCAACATCCGGGTATCTCTCCACTGGAGCGTGTTAACGCAAACGTGTAAGTTTCACGTTTGAGGGGGTTAAACCGTCACATCTACACGTTTTCCAAAGTGGACCAACGTGATTATTTCACATCTTGAAGCAAGACTGTTTCTTTAACACTATGCATGAGCCACATTCTCTGCATAGCAAGTAGTGCTAGTCGCGTGACAGGGATTGTTTTTCAATGTTCATTATAAATGTAATCTCTTTTTGATTACAAAAACTCCTATAGTCTTGTATGACTTACATTTTATTCAGTATTATTCTTTGGATTTTCTATTTATTTGTGCTATTCACAGAAGCAAAACACTGTCACATGCAATTTTTGTTACTATTGTAGACCCAATGAATTGTATATAAGAGTGAATTCTTCTTTAGCGTAAACCTATACTGTCAAACTGCATTTATGGTGCAGACATGGCTGAAGCCTGCTATGTAACACAAGACTACGTTGAGAATCATTGCGTGAAATTGGCCCCAATTTTGTGTAATGGGACCCATCGTGAAGAAACCTGGCGAGTTTTCTCAAGATTTACAATTCAGTGAATGGCTGTCTAATATCCTACAAGTCATATCCCCCCACCCCCACCCCGAAAATAAAATGAAACGGTTAAAAGCTCTTCCTACTTCATCGCTCGATTGACATATTGAGCATCTTTACCAGAGCCTGGTGTCCATTATAGTATGTAAAATGAAATGAGCCCATCTGTTGTTGGAACTATGTGGAAGTACAGTCTCCTGTTCTGTGCGCAGCTGTCTGACTGAACAGTGCTTTGCTCTTCAAAGGGTTTAAGGATTCTCTGAGCACTTTATCAGTTGGACAGGGGGAAGCCCATCCCTCACAATGTTACAGCATTAAAGAAAAATTGTGGTGACCTTTTGAATTTTCCACAGAAAAGCGCTGAGAAACTGCTGGCTAAGACTGGCAGAGAGCATTGACTCATTCTCTGCTTAATATCCAGGGTCCTGCTCTTAATCCACAGGGCACATTAAATCTAACACACAGGGCAGCCGTTTGTGTTTTCAATTAGATATTTGTAGGCACAGGAATTCAGCCTTGCTTTCCCTTGGTCACATAATATTTTATAAATATTCTTTTAAAAGCACTTCATCTTTTCATGCGACTGAGTCTCTTGGTAAAAGAAGGTTTCACATTTGCATTTCTTCCTAGAAGCGAGATGGCCTAGTTATGTTTTCGTTTTCCCTATTGCAACTCCACTTTTCTCTCTCTCTCTGTGTATGTGTGGGTGGATGGAAATGATGCTCTCTTCTTGCCTGCCTGCTTTGGTGATGATCATCTCGGTTCCGGCCTCATGGAACTTCTTCCATAGTTCCCTGTCGTGAAGAACCACTTTGATGTTTTCAATGTTCTGAAAGTACAGGCACAAAAAAGATAAATGATAATGAGTCATTGTTAATGATAGAATGGCTATTAATATTGCTCAAATGAAAAGAGAAAAATTTTATTAAATTCATTTTATCTTGTTTAATCATTAAATCTTTGTTATGTTACATTGCATCTCATCGCAGAGGCGAAGATCTACAAATCGGGACTCAAAGGATTTAAAAGATCCAAGTGATTGGCTACCTTGTCAGGCTCATTGTTCTGGAGAATGCTGGGAGTTGTAGGCATGCCCAAATGTGAGGAATCACTGGCAAGTTCAGGACGCCCACCCAACTGGGCCACGGTCATACCTTCATCAGCCAGAGCTGAGGCCTTCTCCTGTAGCATTTCTGTAAAATCACAGAAATATTAGTTTAATGATGGCTACGCAATCAGAATAGGACACATTATTTCAGACTATATTGAATTATATATAACTGGGTTTTTTCCACTTTTTTGAAAAATAAATCATAGAAAATGAAAAATAAAAATCATAAAATATATTTGGAGATTATGATGCTAAGAAAATAATAAATGACATTTTTTTTTTTTTAGTGTCTTAAAAAATTAGAAAACGAGTTAACGAAAAAAATGCCGTGTTTTTAACACAAGCTTCAAACCTGGTGATATATGTATAATGAAAATACCACAGATGCCAAAGTTCCTCTTTGTTCTCTCATAGCCTGCTCTAATTGATTATACACAGAGAGAGACAAGACATGAGCTGCAAAATTTGAGAAATAACGTACATTAACATTTACATTTCGTGAGGGAAAGTCTGTATAACATGGCCTGGCCAATTCATTTCAAGGAAAAGGGTCGAGATCCGTTTGTTCTGAAGTATCGCAAGATTAAATATTTACACTTCCAGCATTCGGGCACCTCGGTTTTATGGAAGCGTGCTAAACACTGCTGATTCCATTAAGAGAGGTCACAAACTTAGCCCCGCTCTCACGCCCCTTCTCTGCTCACACTCAGACATCACACCAAAGGTATGTCTCATTACTGTAGTACAACACACTGCCTCCAGAATGCTGCCTATCTGCACGGCGGACACCAAACTGCTCTCATGGTGAAAGCCACCTCCTCCCACCAGCTCCTAATCTCACGCATGTAAACAATGTGAGTGTGCGCCCTTCAGATAAAAGGAGAAGAGCGGGATTCCGTGTAAACTCGGGCAGGCATTTGCCAAAGCTAATAAAGATAAAGTCTGACAGGCACAGTGAGGCTACAGCAAGTCAACCCTGGACTTTTCCAGTCCAAAATGTGCCTTTCACTTACACTGTTTAACTAAGCCCAGTGAGCGAGAGATCTGTTTACATCTCTGTCACCCCAGACATATAATCCGCTAAACTATTCCTGGCAGATACTGCTGTGTGCACACTGGGGTTTGCTGGCTATTTCCAGTGTGTTGTCCAAAATGTTCGCCACCAACCAAATTTTGACTTGTCAAATTTTTTAAAAGTAATAATAATTGTTTCATGATGGACTGCACTATATTGGCCATGATTTTGTGCTCAGAATTCACCCAGTTCATTGAAATACTTTTTTTGGAAACCTGGAATAATATCGTGCCTGGTAGGGGGAGGGGGTGTTTATACCGTTTTGATGCACGTTACAATAGCGGCCCAGTATGATTTGATCTATCATTTTGTTCGGTGGATGAGTGGATACAATGCGTGTTAGAGTATAGGCCTGTTCAATTCAAACACAGCATGTTTTTCTTCCTACGTATGGTGATATTCAGCTATATTTCTTCAATGATACTTTGAATTGACACATTAGGTTTAGTGAAGTACACTTGAACCATTTTGGCTGTAGAGTTCTTATATTAGTTATATTATTTTTTTGAGATTACAAATCACTTTGATGTTTCATTATTGGTTCCTATATGATTTGTGCATTGACTTATGAGTTCTTTAAGGCACCTTTAAATGGTTTTCTAAAGCCAAAATTGTTCGGGACCACTGTATTCTAATTAGAACATTTATTTTTAGCATTTGTGGGCTGTTATCCCATGACTGCTTGAATATTGTCATTTTGACAAACACGGTGAGAAAATGAAAAATGCCGGAAATGTGCTTACCCCATGTCCTTTAACCATTTGAATTAAATAGGATTTGACAGCTGAACAACAACAAAAATAAAAACAATAAAAGATTAAGAATTGGGTTCATTTCTAACACAAATTATTCTGTTGAATATGCAGGCTAATGTAATTTACTTTTCTAAAATATATAAGATAATGGTATAATTATTGCTATGTAATCATTTTATTAGCCATGTAATTTACTTTTAGATGTGCTTTGCATTTTCGTTGTGATATAAAAGATTGCAACTAATGGTACATTTGTTATTAATCATAGATGTTATTATTTATATGGCCCCATTGAATAAACCAGTCTGTGTAATAATATGCCTACCTGTTTTTCTTGATTTGATTCATTTGATTTTCTTAATTTGATTTAATTAATTAATTAACCCAACCCCCCCCCCCCCAAAAAAAAAAAAAAAAACTAAAAGTGCATTTCACCAGCTTAAAATTAAATATATTAAACATAATTATTTTGACTTTTTTTAATAAAATGTATGTAGTTTAAATAGCCATCTGTATCAGGATTATGTGTGAATATTTTTGTTCTTTTGCATTTGTCAGGCTTTTTCAACTATATATATATATATTTGAATATAAATTACATATTAAGAAATTTGTCAATTTATTGTTTACCAAAAACTATGTTATCGCCATCCGAATAAATTAAGCTGCTTTATTTAGGCCTTTTAGTTCTAAATTCATTGCAGAAAAAGGATAGATCAGGGATCGACACGAACAAGATTAAAAGTACCTGCATCATCATATGTTCAAATTTGTGCTCGCAACAATTCATTGAAAATATTAAGCGAGCACGCACGTAGGCCCCAGTGCTTTCGTTTGAGATAAATCACAGTAACACGAAGTAATTCAAAAGCTTCATACATCAAATGCTGTACAAAATTACATTTAACAAGTATAGTGCAAATAAATGGTCTTTTAAGCGACATAATAATATAATAAAAAGGCATAGGTTACAGTAATAGGCACTTTTGTTTACATCACAAGCTAAGACTATGTTCAAATATTGTTCAAGAAAATTCTTATTGACAGGGTTTTATTTATGAAGGACTGACGCCTTCTCGTTGATCACTTAATTTGATAAAGAAGGAGATCTAATCGCATTACCGACCTCCAAGCACATATAAGAGAAGGTTCAGTTCGCGGCACGGATTTCAGAGTAGCGTGAAATGACCTGAGAACAAATGTAATGTTACCTCATAAAATATTATGTTCTGAAATCCTCCATATCATTCCAAACCGCAATAATCTGTCCACTGCGACATTACAGCAGGAAGCTAGGTCCCGGTGTGGCGTTGAGTCCAGTGCACAAGTATCTGTTTAGCATCCCCTCATGAGCAGACTGAGCTGTCTCTTCTCTCTTCCCCAGAGTCTGCTTCTGTTCAAATATCGCCGCGAGCCGAGTGCTAACACAATCGAGAGCTCGTCTCAGAGGCAAATGGTCACTACGTGATGTTTTCTTGGAAACACCGACTATCCACAGGATAGCTTGAATTGTTAAAACACTGGGGTGAATATCTTGGCTCATTCACTCATTCCCTCCTTCCCCCCGCGCCTCATCGCTGACGTTGCTCTCAATAACACCAAACCCCAAACAACCCGACTCAAACCAACGGTCCTCTCACGAGGAAAGCAAGTCTTATCATCGTAAAACATGACTGGTACTCGTCTCCCCATTCTCTCCCCCACAGCAATAGTTTAACATGAGGATAGGCTATTCAAAATTGCAACCTCAATGATGAGGACAAAAGAAGAATAGCCTCATTAAGAACATTTGAAATAGGCCTATTGTAATTTTCTCTATATTATGGAAATTCAGCTTCCTGTCCTCTGTGATAATTTTTTTTAAAAGTTTTAAATAGTTTTTTTTTTTTTTTTTTTGTTTGTTTGTTTACTTTTTTTGTTTTTTTATGTTGCACGGTATTTTTTATTATTAGCCTATTATTTTAGGCCGTTGTCCCCCTAGACTTGCCCTTTATTAAAAAAAAGATATTTCAATTAGGCTATGTAAATTCAACTTTGCTTCTCACCCACAAAAGAACTTAAAAATCACATATGAAGTGGTTTGGAATTTACGTGAATAATTAATGTCTATTGGTCTGCTTTTAATGTAGAACTGGTGTCATTGCCACCACGCCGTTTTAGACAACAATTGAGTTTATTATTATTATTATTATTATTATTTATTTATTTTTTAATCTAATTTCCATTGTCCTTTAATGGAAATTAGAAATAGCTAAAAGACAGCTAGTGACCGCTGAAGAAGACTGAAGATAATAGGCTGAATATAATTAATTTTAATATTCTTACATCATGATCTGAGAGAGAAGCTTTACCAATTTATTTTTTACCTATTAGAAATCTCCAATATATACAGCATATATATAACACACTAAGCTGAAAGATTCACCGCTTCACATGGCTGATCAAGCCATGCATCCGATATTTCTTTAAATGGTGTGAGAAATGTAACAGAGATGAAACATTGTTTATATGAACTCGATCATCACTCAAGATTTCAAGGCAAAAATAGGTTGAACGTTAGCGATATCTTTAACATAATGTAATTTTGTCTGGCTTTATATGTCACGAGCTTTCTATCAATTTCACAGTTTAACATTGGTCCATTTTTTCCAGCATTATGTGTTCTGCCATAGGCTCGCATGTTCAAATTTGAAATCTGCTGAGAATTTCGTTTAAACATTTCCAGTGAAATATGGTTGCGGTTTTAGAGTAAATGGGTCGAAGCACGAGGCTGAAAGATCAATAAATCACCTGGAGAGGTTCGAGGGCCGTGGGAACCTTGACTTATATCTACTGGTGACATGTCCAAATGAATGGCAACAGCCAGAATATGTCCTTCTCAGACCCGTTTGTCATTCTCGCTGTAATTTTCCAAACAGGTCATGTTATCAATGAGAATAAACGCAGGAATAAGGAAAGACGGTTTTAGGAGACAGGCCTCAGTCATGGGTGTATGATATCGGCTAGGTTTGTTTGTTTTAGCCTCAGTGGCAGTGATTTCGGGACCACACAGGCCTTTTTTATATGTTCTTTCGTATAGGCTATTCGTATAGATCTGGACACACGTGTTTGGTTTATTTCCTATGTTATCACTACAGTCCATCCTACTGAATTTCACCCAAAAAAAATTGACACAATGTGTGATTAAATATATTTGTTTGATTAATTAAATAAATAAATAATGTAACTTGCTAGGCCTACTTACAACCTATA